ATGTGATCATGATAATTGGATAAAATAGACGCTTTATCATAACTRCTGGACAAATATCTACACTAATTCGCTTAAAATAATTTAATAGAACATTTTATTTTTTCTCCATTCCAATTCATACAGTCAAAATGACAAAAACAGAACAGAAATGTCACAAATTGTATACTTAATATTATAATATTATCAGAGTTAGGGTTCTGGAATTCTTGAATTTACATGTTTTTTGTGATGGTTGTAGAATATTATAGTTTAGATAAGTAGCAAAGTTTTACTTTTTACTTATTTTGACATATTTCGTTATATTTATCAAAAAGTCATATTCGGTCAATTTAAGCATTTGAATAATATTATCATAAAATTAAGGCATATTTTATGTAGGCACCGTTTTTTTTTGTTTTTCTCACTAACTTTAGCTGTGTATTTTAACGAATTTTTTTTTTTATTTAATTAATTATAAAATATTTTTGAACATATTGTGCTATTACAACTATTTTTTTTTTACAATTTGTGGTTTATGAATTTTGAAAATAAAAATAGTGTAATGAGGTTTTGTATATTATATTAATACTAATCTTCATTTTCTTATGGTGAGTCTTCACTGTATGTTAGTAGAATGTTCTGGAGTAGTCGAGGCTGCAGACGTGGGTTTTTTTCCCTGGAAGTTTTTAAACTGCGTTTTGATCCATGTGTTTATCAGGGGTATTCCCGTGTCATTATAGATCTAACAATTTCCCATAAGACATGGTGCTTTGAGGGATATCCTTGGGAATTTATTTTGTAAAATTTGGGTTCTATTTTTTTTAGTGGCGGATGCAGCAGCCCATACAGGACAGCCATAGGGTATCATTGGTTTGATTATTGAGGTTTAAAGAAGGAGATAAGATTTCATTTGAAGGGTTGATTTATGATTGATTAAGGGGTACAAGATTCTCATCCTGGCATATCCTTGTGTGATTTTTTTGTTTATGTGAATATTCCATGTTAGTTTTTCATCGAGAAAAAACCAAGATATTTGACTGAATTATCTTTTCTATTCCATTGAATAATCTGATTGTTTATATTAATGTCTTTTGGGTTGTGGTATCTTTTTAAGGTGAATATTTTAGCCACGCCTTCAGTTGGATTTAGGTTCAGATTCCATTTTTTGAACCAGGAGGTGATTTCGATTAATGAAGATTATATTTTTTCGATTGATAAGTATAACTTGCTATCTTGTGTGAGGATTTTCGTATCATTCGTAAACATTGCTAGTTGAGAATTAGGGGAATTGGGGATATATAAATATTGAAGAGCGTTGGTCCCAGTACTGATCCTTGTGGGACTCTAGATTTGATGTTGTGTTGTGGGGGTAAGTCGGCCTACTCTCACTTGGAATGCTCTATCAGTTATAAAAGATGTGATGGTTTTCAACAAGTAAATAGGGATATTGAGTGCTTTCAATTTTATTTAAAGAGTTTTTAATAAATTAAATTTGAATAATTGAACGCATAATATTTATTTATTTTTATTGCAATATGTTCCTAACACTTATCATAACATATGATATAACTTCCTACCACCCATTAAAATGTATTAAATAAAAATAATAAAAAACAAAACACATTTTTTAGTTGAAATCTGTAATATATGCATTGAAATATGTTATGGATGTGAATTAAACACACATATCATATTGTTATACTAGAAAGAATATAATATAAATATGTATAATGCATATAATTACATGCAATTAAAATTAATAATACGTACTACATGGCCTTATATGACCAATAAATAATACAGTGTATTATTATGTTTCTTTATACATTTATTCAACCATATGCATAGCGTTATATAATAATTAATCAACGGTCATATGATTTTTACTATTGAACTTGGCAACTGAGTTATTTACGAGTTACCATAACATAGGTTATAACATAGTTACATACGAGGTAATTCATATCTAACAAATTTCAATGGAATATGCCGTAAATTGGAATGATGACATATGATATAAATTGAATAACAACATTAATAATCTTATTCAAATATAGATGAATTATTAAAAGATGAAATGAATAACTATGTACATATGTAGTTATTAATTGTTGCAATCTGATGAGTATATTTGAATGGTTATTCGGAATAAAAAGTAATGGATTTTTTTTCAATTGTTGTTATTGTTATAGAATACTTAAATATAAAATTGGGCGTATGTATTTACGCCAAAATTAACCCAAAAAAAAAAAATATATATATATATGTAATTTGCGCCACATCTAAAAATGTATTTTGATAATTTGCGCCACTTTTTAAATTTGTAATTTGTGCCAAATAAAATTAAATAAAAAGGAATTATGTAATCTGTGCCCTAGAGTACCTAATAAGATTGTAATTTGCGCTTTTTCCCACCTTATTAAAATAGTAATTTGCGCCACTTATATTATAATAATATAAATAACTCCATGTATATTAAATATGTAAATTATCGTTAAGTAATAAAACATATTATAAAAATCAGTCATATTAAACTCGTAATTAAAAATAAATGTATATAAAAAATCAAACTCCATGCATATTGAACATCTAAATTGTCGTTAATTAATAAAACATATAAAAATCAGTCATAATTATAAATAATTCKACGATATTRAGACGATATGTGACACGYGTCGGACGCATCAGAACGTATTATTGTATATCCTATGCGATATCGCTAAATTTATCTGCTGGTAAATTCCAACTGCTATTAAAGTTGAAAGTGTGGTGCAAATTAC